TTGCGTCGAGATGATACCAAAATATGCCCGTTAGAGTCGGAAGGCATGAATGTGGGAAGAGTATCAACGACAGCAAGGTCGTCAGCTTGGTCGAAAAGAAATAGCCATCGTTGTCCTCTCCGCTGTAATTCGCGAAATATTGCGTCCCGATCTGTCTGTAATGAAGACTTATATCTTTCCAGAGCTGTTTTCGAGGACTCGACATTCTCAAATGATGACAGCCTGAGACCGAGTTGGCTCGCAGCAAGCTTAAAGCTCTCAGTAAGGCTCTCAACGCTCGAGGCATCAAACCAAAGAACAACTCCGTACTCTTCTCTCTTTCTCCAGGCATATTGAAGCATTAATTGTGTCTTGCCAGACCCGCCTAAACCAAGTAAACAAGTTATCGCTGCTCTACCTGAGTCAGATGGATTATCGAATTTCAACTCCATTTTCAGAAGCTCATCTCTCATAACAAAGTATGGCACTGGCTGTTTCCCAATGCGGTCCAATTGATAGAAGGAGCCGTGGAACGAAGAAGTCCCCGGAGCAGACCGACTTTTGGCAAGGACGATGACATTAGAGCTCAGTTGATTGTCCGTGTTGACAGGAGAAGTGTCCATGATCGCATTTTGCGGTGAGTTTGAGAGGTGTCCGTATGAATATGCAGACTTCGAAGTGTGGTCGGTTTCTGTTAAATTAGTTCTTTGACTTGAACTCTGTTCAGCATTTGGCAGGGTAGACTGTACAACCACTGGTGTGTTGCGAGCTCTGGAACGATGCGGAGATCGCGCAGTGTGTTCTTTTTGGTCGTCATGTTGGAATGGACTTCCTTGTATGATTTTATTCCTGGAAAGTCTGATTGCACATTCACGGAGTCGGACATGCTCTTCTCTAAGATACGACTGAGTACTGCTCATCATGAGATCAGCCTTGTGCCACTCTTCCAAATGAATTGCCTCCACTCCTCTCGATACATTGAATCGAAAGTACTTTTCTTCGAATGGCCCACTCGAAGAGCAGTATACTGCTTCAAAACGTCGAGCGATCTTCTCTGCATCTGTTGCCAGCCTGCCACAAACTTTGGCAAGTGAAGTAAGACTGTTACTCATAACAATGGAAGCAGGAACACCGGTACCAATACTGACCACTACTGAAACAGGAGTGTCTGGGAATTCCAACTGAACTTCGTCAGCAAGTTCGAATATCGGATTGTTGTCTCTCAAAGCGCCGTCACGAAATGTGACACCATTTTCAAAAGTAATAGGGTCGAATATGGTCGGGGCAGCCGAAGTCGCTCGGGCTGCTTCCCATATTTTGCACCGAACAGACTCCTCTTGAGTTGAAGCATAATTTCTCAGCCGCCGGGTATCTGCATTGCTCATACTAGCGCAGACGAAACTGTGTGTATTAGTATACCATTCTATATACTTGACGAGCACAAATACCTACACTTTGCACTTAGGATTATCTTGCAATAGAAGCGCATCTTCATTTTCTTGGGCTTGTACGATGACTCGTTTCAACTCTTGCTCGAGCAGACTGTGATCGAATGCAGCTTGTGCCATTAGCCCTGGAAGAATGCGACCAAACACCTTCGTTCTTTTCCGGAGCGTGAAGACAACCTTGGACAGGTTGATGTATGCAGAGATGCATGCGTCGATGTCCATTTCCTTGCTGAAGGTAAGACGAGTTGAGCAAAAAACGGCAACGAAACTAACTAATCTTCCCAGCATAATCGCAATCAGACCCCCCGTGCTGGTACCGGCGATAACATCAAAGACATGACACGGTTTGGGCGGATCCTTCGGGGATATAAGATGCATTAATCGTCGCAGTATAAGTAGGCTGACTAGGCCACGCACCCCACCTCCATCTATGGCCATTGTCAGTATGGAAATGCTTTCCTAGATACACTTTTCCATACCTAGAGCAAGTAGACTTAGGCTAGCCATCTTCTCAGATGCTCTTTTAGGACAAGATAAACACGCAAGAAGTCTTGACAGGTTGAAAGGGGGTGTAAGGATCAATCAGTAGCATTGCCTCGAGAAGGCTGCACCTTATGTCAAAGGCGACAGCACTTCCAATGCAATATCGTGCATAGAGTACAACTCGGCCTAATTTTTTGCTGGGTTTACTGATTGCCCGAGATCTAGGAGCACCTGGTCGTGCGCCAAATATTAAAGCATCAGGAAAAGCCGTTGAAGAATAACCATCACCTACCTAGTTGTTCAGCTGAGCAGCAATTTGCCGTCTGGGATACTATAAGCCTCAGGCATTACGGAGGAAGGTCAACGAAAGTGTCGCACGTGATAAACGGCGCGTAATCAGACATTCTGATACGTTGTAGTTGGACAGGCCAGCCGAATCTTGTGTCCAGTATATTTACTAGCCTATGCACGGTCTCACACGACATTTAAATTGGGAACTGGGACTAGTTCTCGAACTCTACTGTGGGTTTTCTTTCTTTCTATCTTTTTTTGTTTTTGAAAGAGTAAGGTTTGCATTTTTCGCGTTTTGCCGTTTTGTGTTCATGGCTCAATGTATGGTGGTTGTGTCAGCGGTTCTGTAGATACCTTAGCAAATGCTTAGCGTCCAAAGATAGTGGTCAAGCCACCAAGATATAAATTGACAATGGTCTCTTAGGCCCTTGTGCTCTGTTGTCGGAGCATCGTATTTGGTCTCTGGGCTTGCCTAGCCAGCGAACGATGATAACTCCATCATTTCAGCCTCTATTCAGGCTGCAGCAACAGGAGTCTCGATTCCAAACACTAAAATGTTAAGTGATGCAACTCCGCCACTGATTATAAGATTTTAAGTAGACTAGGCTAGACCGGAAAGACCAAGGATAGCCGTTCCCTACGGAGCCGTATTTCACTGTTAATCCGAGCCGAACACGTACAGTTATTTCCCTCTTTTCTTCGTTCTATTGTCTTTGTTTCGTTTCGCCTTCCGTCCTGACATATATCGTCAATCATCTCTGATTGATAATGCATTCTTTGAAGAGAATTGATTCACCGCCAGGACGCATTGCTGTGATTATTCACGGTGTTGGGCTCGTATCTTTCGCTGCCTCATTCTTATGGCTGCCTCACATTACAAACCCTTTACACGCTGGCTTCGGTGGCTCGTATCAGTTTCTCACTATCATTGCACTTACAGCATCTATGATCACCTTCGGAGTCGGACTCATTGCAGACATTTCTCTCAGCGATCGACTCTTTGCGCTGAAAAACTTACTTTCAATGTGCGCCACGCCTTTGGAGGTTCTCATCAGCGCCCTCTATTGGAGCCTCCATACTATCGACAAGAGGCTTGTTGTGCCTCCTGGGCACGAACTTCCGTTCATCCCTGACTTTGGTTTCCACGCTATGCCAGCTATTATGCTGGTGGTAGACTTCATCCTTTTGAGCCCCTCGTGGGCGATAACCGGGTGTCAAGCACTAGTCATGAGCTCAGGCTTGTTCTTATTTTATTGGTCATGGCTTGAGTATTGCTTTTCATTTAACCGATGGTAGAGCACCTAATCAAATGACTGCCACGGGTTCCATCATTGACTGCGTTACAGGTATCCTTATCCCATCTTTTCTAAGCTTTCACTGTTGCAAAAGCTATCTATCTGTGTCTTCTCAGCGATTTTAATGACGTGTATCATCTTAGTGTTGAAACGGGTGCACGGGAGGCTTCACAGAGAGAATGGAACAGGGAACAAGCAAGATTGACCAGTTGCGTAACAGCAACTTGGAAATCCAAGGACTTGTGAAACTTCATTGAATGCATAGTTCATACAGGACCTGAGCCTGGTCATGAATTAATCAAATTGTCAAAGAATAAGCATTTATCCACCAGACAGCGCCTTGAACTCTTCTCTGGGAATCTAACTCAACACATCTCATCACACTTTCAAATGTCTTAGCCCAAAGCCACAACTGAAGTCCAACAATGATAATCTCATAGTTTTATCTAAGGATACTGGTAAATATTTTTAAGTAGTAAATTGGATGCTTATTTTAAGCTCTATTTTTACCTACTATCTTCAAAAGTGTAAATCTATAGATAGTCACAGTAATGTGTAAAGCGAGACTCTATATATTGTCTATTTAGTTATAATTAGAAACGTGTATGATATCAGGAGCAAGCTTCAAGGTCAGTGTCTAGCCACTTGCTGTATTCGTGCAGCATGTGTAAGAATGCATCAATTAAAATTTAAGAGTATCTGTAATTGTTATGACTATGTGTAGACAAAGCTTATATAAAAATACAAAAAAGATGAGAGGATCTCAGTGCCTTTTGCTTGTGATTTTGCCTTGCCGCGACAAACGCTAGCTCAACCGATCTTGTGACCGATCGGATATCAATGTCTATCACTACTATTAGGGTGCAATGGGTGTGGCTAGCGCTACTAATAGGCATATGGCTCCTCGGCTTGATTGCCTGGGCTGGCTCGGCTGTGCAGACAGAGTGGCTAAGCATACCAATTTGGCGCGACAACCCTCTGCCTTTTCTATTTCTTTAGCGCGAAGGTAAAGTTACGGAGAAGGTGGAGGAGTTGAAAGGTGATGCGACATGGGCTTACCAGGATGTAGCCGCACGTATGCAGGCCAGACTTGAGCCTGGCAGTGACGGCTTGCTAAAATTTGTGCGGGAGCAATCAAGCGAGTCACCCTGATGAACTTAGATTGCAGACGAAGCCAACTACCTACGCTTTACAAGATGGCTATTGAAATATTGTAACAAATTTTATTCAATGACGATAACGTTTGAAGAGAGGGAGCACAAATGACAAGTAATGACAAAGCCTACAAGACTAATAGTCACTTGATTTCTTAGGTATTATCTAGTCTTGATTATGCAGTTTAATCTACACTTCTAATAATATGCATCGTATAGTTTCAAAATCACATCATGCTTCCAAGACGCCATACCATCCTTCATCCTATGCAATGCTTATGTATAGAAACCCCAGGAGAAGCGGGGATATTTACAGTATGTACAAGATTTGTCATACCCAGACCCATGTCTTATCTTAGATTTACGGGGAATCTCTCCCTCAAGCGCTCACCATATCTGTAGAAGAGATATGGCATGGGCAAGAGACCGAGACAAATGAACGCCAGCAGCGACGTGCCCCATCCATATCCCATGGAATCGTACATCTTGCGTCCCGCGAGCGGGAGACAGCCGCCAAAGAGAGACCGCATCACGGCGCTAGCGGCGATGGCAGAGGCTGAATATTCGGTGAAGGCATCCATGAGATAGCTGGTTATGGTGACCATGCACGCCAGGAAGCCAACACCAACGAACACAGTGCCGAGGATAGGCACGATCCAATGCGTGTGCGCGTCGGCGGCCCAGCCGTACCAGAATAGGCCAATTGGCACGGCAAAGCCACCCGGAATGAGGAGGATGAGCCTGTACTCGGGCTTCATTTCGCCGCCGTTCTTGTGTGTCAGGTAGATCACGATGCGGTCAGATGTCAGGCCGAATACAATCATGGCGAAGATGGAGCCAATACCAAGGCCGATGAATGACAAGCCGTCCAAGCCGACGCCCCAGCCGTACACTTCTTGATACACTAGTGTGAATGTCGTGAAGAGGAGGTATAGGCAGCCAAAACAGAAGGCCATGAAGGTGGAGAGACCGAGCACAACGGGCGAAAACATCAATAGCTTGGCGGGTCGTTCAAGACTGTGTTGGAGCAAGGTGCTGATGGGCATTTGCGTGTCATAGATGGATCGCAGATTTTGGTTGCCCGTCTCCTTGCGCAAACGCTTTACTTTGCGGTCGAGAATCGTGGGGGCGTATGATTCGCGCATGAAGGCGATAACAGCGATGGTACACACACCGGCAACGATGGTCAGAAGCCAGAAGATCCATCTCCATCCCTTCGCTTCAGCGAGGAAGCCTCCAGCGATGGGACCGACGATGGGACCTAGCAAGGGACCGGCAGCGAACAGGGCCATGGCGGCACCTCTGTTCTCTTGGTCTAAGACTCGAAGTTAGTATCAGGAAGCTCACTAGTTGGGAGCCATTATACATACTCATCATATCGGTGATGGAACCTCCTCCGACAGCCAGAGGCATTCCACCGACAAAGCCACAGAGGAAACGGAAGCCGGTAAGCATACCCAAGCTCGTGCTCTTCGCGCAGACGATAGTGAATACAACGAATAGGATGTTGCAGATGTAGTAAAGGTAGACGCGGCCGTAGACCTCGCTAAGTGGTGCAAGCAGCAACGGCCCAAATGCAAAGCCAAGAACGAAGACAGACACGACAAAGGACGCCAACTCGGCGTTGGCGTTCTGGAACTCTACCATGACTTCTGGTACAGCTGGTGCAAACATGGAGCTGGCAAGGGGAATAACGAAACACTGGATGCTGATGAGCGCAATGTTGACTATCTTCTTGCTTGTCTTCCAGTTTCGGGGGTTTGCCGGGTCATTGGGCCCATCCCAACCGATTAGTTCAGGGTCTCGAGGCTTCTCGTCTGGGGTCTGTGTGCTGTGGCTGCCGGTTTCAACGTCCACAAAGCCATTTGTTCGCGCTGGATGCAGATGTGCCTCGTCGTGATCTTCCTCATGCTCGTGAGGTTCTTCCTCATCAGAGTGTCTCATGGTGTGTAATAATACAGTTGTCTGGTATTGTATATGGGTACTATGAGTGTATCCAAAGTCTTGATGGTAAATTAAAGGGGATATAGTGTCCAATGAACCGAATCTTTCGCTTGAAAGTGAATATAGAGAGCAGTGGCAACCTGTCCTACCTTGAGTTTTATGGCTGTATAGCCGGAGGTATCGGCATTGGAGAATTCTTGATCAGGACACTTGATTGCTAAACGCAGCAAGAAAAGCTGGTGAGGTTTCCTCATGTCATGCCACCGGATCAGGCCAACAGTCAAGCGCGGCTTCGGGAACGGAGGCCGGTAGCACACCGACAGCATGCCATTGGCCTGTCGCGCTCAAAATACCGATAACGACCGCTCTCGCGGTGCTAAAACCATCACAGGCCCGTTGCAGTGCCCGTTCCGTCTAGACCTAAGTCCTCTATGTCACCATTTCGCCTTTTTCGAGGTTCTAGAAAGTGTTGCATCAGCCAAGCATCGAGCCCCGGCTTGTCGGGTTCGGGGCGCACCCGCACTATTCTAGGTATTCCCCAGCTGTCCACAGAAGGAGTCGGCAGCAAAGAGGCCCGTGTCATGCACCGATTTAGTGGAGTTTGCTTGCCCGCAATCCCCCGACTCGTGTGTTTCTCCATCTAGCTTTGGCGTGTGGTGTGATGTTGTGCCCAAAGACGGGCGGGAGCCTCACTTCGAGCCTCGGCATGCACAGCTGACACTTGAGGCTGGAACTGCTGTGGCTGGTACCGAGGCGCACTGTAATAGTGATTAGCTAAGGCAACTTACAGCGCATTAATCAAACGGAAGGAACTGGAAGCGCGACACAGGGCAGGTGCGGGCGGGTGCCCAGATGTCTGGTTATCACACACATCAATCACATCACGCCCTTTTAACTTCGGCATACCACGTAGAGGTGCAATTCTGAGCTGCACAGCTCATTACTCTAACAGCTTAGATGAGATCCCTGCCGGCTGCCGTGCCCTACGCATTATGATGGCCTACGTGAAACTAAAAGTCTGGATTGGCTCTTCCATCCGCTATTCGTTGGCCTGGCTGGCTTCATAGACGTAGCTGGCGGCGCTTGTTACGCGGCACCCAAGGATTGTGGCCCCTTCCAAGAGCTATAGTCGTTCTTGGCCTTCTTGGCTATCGCGAGTTTCTCGACTCCTGTTTCATTACGCCTCATTCCCTCTCTGGGCGTGTCTGTTCTCTTCCCTTTTAATTATCTCTTGTTTCTTAAACCTGTAATGCTCTGCTGATCTGCCGATTTCTTTATTGGCATCATGAAGCGCCAGTCGTCTGCGACATTCGTTTCTTTCCTTTGACTTCTCCTTTTTCCTGGTCTCTCGTACGCCTCCTGTGCGTGACACACGCTTCACCCCGCCGCCGCAATGTGGCCCCGTGTAGCAGGGCCTCGCAGGCTGCTCGGGACAACTTTCATTGTGTTGATTGTCTGGACTGTCGTCCTTTGGATCTTCCTCCCCTATGATAACCCGGTCCTGCTCCTCTTTCGTTTTGTGATCCAGAAGACCTTCTCCTTCCTTCGCGTACCATTCGACGACGAGAGATGGTTGTACGAACTGCCCGAGTTTCCCGTGGATTTGAGCAAAGACGTGGCGCTGGTGATCAAAACGGGCTACGGGACGCAGGAGCGAGTGCCTGCGCTGTTTGACGCCCTCGAGATGCTCTACCAGAAGGAGGACGACCACAATATCCTCGTCGTGGGTGATTTCTCAACACAATATCAGAGCAATGGGCAGAAGCTGGTCGTTCATGATGTGGTAGCTGCCGTGATGGAGGACGATAGGCTTCGCGGGGTCCGGCACATGGATAGATTTGACAAGTATAGAAACATGACGGCTGCTATCAAGAAGGGTCATAAGAAGCAGGCGAAAGATATCGCGAAGAAGGTGGGATGGGAGTTGGATGCTCTCAAGGTGCGGATCCCGTCATGTTCTTGTCCACGTCAAATTGCAAGCGGCAGGACCGCTGAGCAAATGGTGCATCGACTAACCGACTTGTAGTTCATCCCTGGACTTGAGCTAGCATATAGGACATTCCCTGGGAAGAAGTGGTACATCATCCAAGACGACGACACATACATGGTCAAGCCCTCCCTGGAGCTGATTTTGGGTCACTTTGACCCCCTGAAACCATTCTACCTGGGTAATGTGGTGGGGGACTTCAAGGGGAGATTCGCACATGGAGGCTCTGGGATTATTCTGTCGCAGATGGCCATGAGCCAGCTGTTCGACGCCAATCCTGATGTCGTCTACGATGCCCTTGTCAATTCCCTCACAGAGACATGGGGAGACAAGCTCGTTGCAACGACGTTCCTGAAAATCGGAATTTATCTGGAAGAGAGGTACAGCCATTTCTTCAACGGCGAGCGGCCATCAATTACCAAAATGAGAGCAAGCCGGTTTTGCTCGCCGATCGTGTCGTTCCACGGGTTAGCAGACCCATCCCAGATGCGTCAAGTTGGCGACATGTTCCAGGAGATCGACCAACCGGTGTTTTGGAGCCAGCTCTGGGAGATATACGACCAGCCGGACCTATCCATTTTCGAGAGGAATCCCATGCGGCTCGGGCATGACCACGTGGGGAGGCTGGATGAGGAGACGATGACAACGCGCAATGTCAACTCTGTGGACAAGTGCTTAGCTATATGTAATCGGCATTTCAATACTTGCTTGGCCTGGACATGGGATAGGGAGACCCACGAATGCCACATCAGCCCCTGGGTAATCATTGGGGAGAAGGCCAAGACCAAGTTCTCGGGGATGAATGTGCAGCGTATGAAGAAAATGATGCGCGAGTGTGGGAGTTGATAAGAATGGTCACGCTTCAATGATGGAATTGGTGCTTGCATTTGCTCACCTGTACAGCGGCGTCTGATGATAGGACGCTATTGACGACATAAGATGATGATAATGCTTTATAATAGATACCCCGGTTTGAGCTTAGCAATTAAATGAACTACCAATGACTAATGGCTTGCTTTCTGGGAGTACATCCTGTGACACGAGAATCGTTATCCATCCGAAGAGGAATTAGAAGCGGGTTTCTCATGAATAGGCGAGAACGTTACCTCCTAATCGGAGTCGGTATGACCTCGAAAATCTGATCCCGTACCCCCTTCCTGGTGTATAGTAAGAAGTAGATTATCGGAAGCCGACATAAAGTAAGCTAGGTTGGCCAAGTCACAGATGACAACATAACACGCTCCTCTTTCTTAGTCTCAGATCCCGAAAAATATCTAGTCATTGTTCTGGTTGTGAGATTCACGATGACTAGCTCTAGATCATGCCTGTTCATTCTGAAGGATTCTCACTGTGACAACATCATGATCGACGCGACAATAGTCTTCGACGCACTTTATCGAGGACATACTATACCTCGGCTTAGATGTAAAAAGTCTCAACTCTGCTTGACCAATATCAACATCTAGTTGATTCGTATATATAACAATAATATATATGAGAGTTAAAATACGAAAGTCAGCTATTGAACATGTACATGTGGTAATGTATGAGACACAAATCCTTCCGATCATGGCCCAAGTCAACCATGCCGTCTGAATACACCTGACTTGACGGACTGCTACCTTGTATTTGGCCCATGTGAGCGTATTTGCGACACTGAATGGTCGCTTTGCTCTAAGCCACTAGTGGCGTAATCTCTGGCCAACAATTGCCCCTCGAGCCCCTGATGATGCGGTGGTGCAGGCAAGACAGAAAAACTCAGCTGAGATGCTCATGTTGCAGCTGGCAGCCAAGTGGCGGCTGTCGCGTGCCGGTGACGTTGGGACGGGCTAAGGCGAGGTTAGGGCCCCCTGACGTCAATGTGTGCGCAGATTTGGGGCTGGGGTGTTGGATGCGTGTGGCCCCTCACTAGAGGACATTGCGGGCGCGATCATTGCCTGCTTGGATTCGTTGGCCGGCCGGCGGAAAAGACGTACTCAGGAGTCCAGTGATCGATCTAGTTGCACGGGGATCCAAGTATTGCGAATACTTGGCGGGTCGGCCGTACTATAACGCTGCTACCGTAGGCTATGAGGCTTCCTTTGATCTTCATAATCCCAGAATCTTCTTTTCCTTCCCCGATAGAACAAACATACTCCATACTCGATTGTTGAACTACTCGTCGGCTGTTGTACATCCCGCATCGCGTGTTAAACCCACATTTTGTAGCCCCTCACATACCTACCTACCTTCCTACCTTACATTTACTCCGATCAATCGGGGGCTTTGCAAAACCTAAATTCCGATTGCGATCCAGCTTCGACTCCTCAACCTCCCACCCGGTCAAGGTCCCCGAGAGATATCGATTCAGAGCAGACACCATGGCGGAAAATGGCACCATGTCACCACAGGCTCAGGCCAGCGGCGGGAGCTGGACGGCCTTTCTGAAGGTGAATTACAAACACTCTAATACATGCAGACTTGCGCAACTCCACGGATATACGGTCGCTAACCTGCTTCTGCGCAACACAGTCCATCGCATCCTTCAATGGCGACCTCTCGAGTCTCACCGCGCCGCCCTTCATCCTCTCGTCCACCAGCTTGACCGAGTTTAGCTCCTACTGGTGCGAACATCCCTCCATCTTCGCTGCGCCTGCCAAGGAGACAGACCCCAAGAAGCGCGCCATGCTGGTGCTGCGATGGTTCCTCACCACCCTAAAACAACAATACGCCAGCCGTAGCGAGCAATACGGCAACGAGAAGAAGCCCCTAAACCCGTTCCTCGGCGAGCTGTTCCTGGGCAAGTGGGAGGACGACGCCGGCACAACAGAGCTCATCAGCGAGCAGGTTAGGTGAGAACTGCCGCCGGCGCACATCTCTTAAATGCATTGGCAGTTACTGGAAGACATATACTTACACAAACTCTCTACAGCCACCACCCGCCCGCGACCGCCTACAGCATCACCAATGTGCCGACCGGCGTGCACCTCGAGGGCTACAACGCGCAGAAGGCGACCTTCACAAAGACGATAAACGTCAAGCAGATCGGGCACGCGGTGCTGACGGTGCCGGCGCCGGGCGGCGAGAGCAAGGACACATACCTCATCACGCTGCCCTCGCTGCACATCGAGGGCCTGCTGTTCGGCTCGCCGTTCATCGAGCTCGACGGCGCGAGCTACATCACCTCGTCGACGGGCTTCACCGCCAAGATCGACTACAGCGGCAAGGGCTGGCTGTCGGGCAAGAAGAACAGCTTCACCGCCGTGCTGCACCCCACCGGCAAGGAGCGCGACGTGCTGTACTCGGTCAACGGCCAGTGGACCAAGTCGTTCAGCATCCACGCCGCGCCCGCCAAGCAGGCCTCGGCCGCCAACCTGGTCGAGACCTACGACCCGGACAAGCACCCCTCCACGCCGCTGACCGTCGCGCCCCTCGAGGCCCAGCACCCCCTCGAGAGCCGCCGCGCCTGGGCCAAGGTCGCCGCCGCCGTCGCCAAGAGCGACATGGACGCCGTGTCCGTCGAGAAGGGCAAGATCGAGACCGCCCAGCGCGAGCTGCGCGCCAAGGAGAAGGCCGAGGGCCGCCTGTGGCAGCGCCGCTACTTCAGCGTCGTCACGGAGCCGGACCCGATCCTCAAGAAGCTCGGCCCCGTCGTCGGCGTCCCCGAGCACGGAGACGCCGACAAGACCGGCGGCCTGTGGAGGTTCGACCCCGCCAAGGCGGAGAAGGTGCGCAGCCAGGCGAGCTTAAGCGTGGAGGATGCTGCCAAATACGCGAAGGAGACTCTCGGACAGTGATTCAACCAGTCGGCATATTGAGGATGGGACGAGCATAGAACGAGGATAATAAAATCTGCACGGCATCGGATGGAAGGCAGCAAAAGCAAGGGGGCGAGCGAGGGTTGCTCTGCTTCTGAGAGGGGCGTCTTACCAAGCTTAAGAGGTAAGAGGCATGGCATGAGATAACAGTGCATTAATGGCTTCGCCTTGTGAGAGCTCGCCGACAGCGAACTCTTCGTATACGCGTAATTGGCGGGCATTATCCACACACATTGGGAGGAGGCGTGGCAAACGATAATAACTAGTACCAAGTTTACAGAATTGGAAAGCATGTGTTCACCAAAAATTAGAAGACCAATTCAACCGTATTAGCAGGATAGAAGTCGAGTCGGGCTTGCTTAACATGTTTATTTTCTTATTCATTCAGCCTAACAATTCTGTTGCGTGACCACTCTCTTATGGTACAACAATCTGATAGTCCCCTTCATCGCGGGGATTGGGCATGATACCGCCTCGCAAGGTACAACTCAGGAATCTGTAACCCATGGAAATCATCATTGTCTCACAACACTCGGCTTGAGATCGCAGCGGTCATCGTTTATAGCTGACCAGCAGTGTTGAAGTCGTTGAGAGCCTCAGTCACTCTCTTGGTCATGGTCTTCTCACCCTCACTAATTGGCAATTAGCTTTGTTCACAAAGAAGAAGCGCAATGTCTCGCGCGTCCGAGAAAAACTTACCGAACCCAGACACGGGGGTCGAAGTACTTCTTGTTGGGCTTGTCCTCGCCACTAAGATATGGTCAGTTATGGATATGAAAGGTGGAGGCTGTCAAGGTTTGAGAAAGACTTACTCAGGGTTGCCAACAGCAGTTCGGAGGTAGTCAATCTTGCCGTTCATGTAGTCACGGATACCGCTCATGTAAGCGAACTGAAGATCGGTGTCCAGGTTGACCTTGACGACACCGTAGCTGATGGCGTCCAGGTACTCCTGCTTGGTGGAGCCAGAGCCACCGTGGAAGACGAGGAAAACGGGCTTGTCGGTCTTGGAGCCGACGGCCTGCTTGACGTGGGCCTGGTGCTTGGACAGAAGCTCGGGGTGCAGCTTGACGTTGCCGGGCTTGTAAACACCGTGCACATTTCCGAAACCGCTGTTGTGCGCGTTAGCAAGTGCCGGGCATCAGTAAAATGAATCAATTACTTACGCAGCAATGCTGAAGTAGGGGCTGATGGGCTCGAGGGCCTTGTAGATGGCGAGGATGTCCTCGGGCTGGGTGTACAGGCTGTTGTTGTCAACGTCCTCGTTGTTGACACCGTCCTCCTCACCACCGGTGATACCAATCTCCATCTCGAGCCACTGCTTCATGGGGGCAGCGCGCTTCAGGTACTTGGCGGTGGTCTCAATGTTCCAGTCGACGGGCTCCTCGGACAGATCAATCATGTGAGAGCTGAACAGGGGCTCGCCATGCTCCTTGAAGTACGCCTCGTCTGCGTCTAGCATGCCATCCAACCACGGAAGCAGCTTCTTCGCGCAGTGGTCGGTGTGGAGAACGACGGGGATACCGTAAGCGGGAGCAATGGAGCGGATGTAGTGAGCGGCAGCAACAGCACCGGCGATGGAAGCCTCCTGGTTGCCGTTCTTGACGCCCTTGCCGGCGAAGTAAGCGGCACCGCCCTGAGAGGTCTGCAGGATGATGGGGGACTTGGCATCGCGGGCGGCCTCGAGGGAAGCGACGACAGTGGAGGAGGAGGTGACGTTGATCGCGGGAATGGCGAAGTTCTTCTCCTGGGCGTACTTGAAGAGAGCGAGGACGTCGTCGCCGACAATCACACCTGTCTTGCGGGACAGCACATCTTGGGCACCCATTTTGAGCTGGTTGTTTCGAGAGATGGCGGGGTCGTTGTAGGTATGAGAATGGTTCGCAAAACTATGATCGATATCGAATAGCTCGGCGCGCAGAATGCAGATGTATGGGAAGAAACTGCGAGATCCTGATGACGAGTCAGTCGAGAAGTTTGCTTTCTAGCTCTGGTCTGCGAGGCGGGGTATATGAAGAAATTGAGCAAAGAATTGGATTGAGGGGTTTTCAAAATGAGCGATATCGATAAGAGCACCGTAGAACGCCCGTGGTTGCTATGACGAAGGAGTAACGTTTAGTGGGCGGCGTTCGGGCGTGCGTGAGTAAGGCCCGTTGCTTTTTTCCCTCGCTCCCGTTGCTCAAGCTTAAAAAGCTTTTTGGCCAACAAACTCGACAAATCCACTCGGCGACTCAGGTAGCTGGTGGGCTGCTGAATGTTTGCTAGCTGATAGGCTCTCTCATGCATTGCGCCGGGATGCTGACCGTGAGGAAATGGTGTAGCAGGCGGGCTGGTCAAGCTGTGATGCCATATAGTGGGCTGGCGGGGCAGAGCGCATCATAGCATGTCAAGAAAGGAGGGGCAGCGCAATGCAAGTGTAAGAGTAGGAGAGGGAACATCTACAATTGCTACCATAGCAACTGATGTGACTTACCAAGAAAGGCGTGTGATTGAGAGTCGGAGGTAAGGAGAACAAGGTAAGCGTCTGAGATGGACTTTCAATGGTGTTCTTTCGTCGTTTGTTTGTTCAGAGTGCACAGATGCAGATGATCGGGATGGCACCGGCTTTTCAAATTGCTCGACGGGCAGTGGCCTCTGGCTTTTTGCGACAGAACGGGGAAGGCAAGTGGGGTCGAATGGAAGATGGAAAGAGAGAAAGGCTCGAATCAATTCCATCGTCATACCTTCCTCGCCCTTAACCTAGGATAACGTCGGGTTATATACCGATACGCCGTTCCCTGCCCAGGTGCACGATTACCGAGACCTGTCCCCCTCCTTCCTGCCGAAGCCGATGCTCTCGGCGGGGTCTACGGGAAGTCGCGGAATGCGGAGAGCATCAGGGGGAGGAGAGGCAGCTTATTCTACGATACACACATGCAAGAGTCGTCAATTCACGTCGAATACCGCAGTCTGCAATGAGTTTCTTCATGAGGCCATTGATGTTGCGTTTGGGACGGGAAAATTTCCTCTAGTCCGCCTGCAGGTCGCCGTTCAATTTCACTCTCCCAGCTGACAGCCTGTATGCGCCATTTGCCCTGCCGTCCAACAAACACCTCGTGGAACAGCAATTTGTTGTAGAAAGACTAAGGCACTTAGACGCCCAGACGACCTCAGCGTGGGTGGCCGAGCTCGGGTCACGCAATTATCTAGCTTCGGGGAATGTAGCGACTTATCTTCACCATTTCTACAAGAAGATTTCCATATCCCGAGCCTCTTTCGCTTCCTTGGCATCGAGCAATGTGCCTTGTTAACTTGAGAACGACACATGCCACTAACTGGCTGAAGCTCACACTTGACAGCTCTAGTTGCCGACGGGGTCCTGATCGTCTTCCTTTTCTTGTATGAGTCTAGATAACGGTAAGTATACCAAAATACATCTACATTTTGACATGAGGCTATCTAAAGTCCCTTGACAATGATCCATTTATGTGTGACGCTCATTCCCATTTCCAGTATATGCATCATCTCCAATGTCTACATCTCGACCCTCCTATCATATCTCTATTCTTATGTGCAGATGAAGCCCAATGGAAACCTTCAAAATGCAAGTCAAACGCGCCGCTAATGCAGTTTCTCGTAGGGAAAGGATGTAGGCCGGCACCTCAGATCGCGAAACCAATGCATGGCCAGTCCAAGACAATGGCAGTCGTCGTAACAATGGCCCTCTTCACTCATGCTCGTTGCCCTGTCCTCGCTGACTACGAGATGGTCTCCCTATTGATCATCCCGCTCAAGCTCATAGAACAGAAGATAGACCTCGCGCTGCATGCCGAGCACCTCACGTGTGCTGGCATCGCGGATCTTCTCGTCACTGATACGCCACCAGCGATCGTGATGCTTCTTCTTTCTCGGTCTAGCATTTGCTGCCGCCACATCTTGAGGTGGTGGAGTGATTGTAGACGGTGCTACGGGAGTTCCGTTCCGGCTGCCGCTTCGGCTGCCATTCCTTGACGACGGCGCAATCTTGGACAGGGTCGACTTCGCCGAAGCCGCGACCGATCGCACGCTGCTTGTCTCCGGATCTCTTTCCTTGAGGTAGTCACGTGGGGCAGAGGTTGGCCCCAGCTTCGATGACCCTGGTCGCTCACCCAATGACGGCGAGCCTCGCTGGCTCGGTATGGTGGAGTCGAGGGATGGAGTGGAATTCGATGCTGGTGATAGAAGTTCAGGCGTTGATGCCAGTGGGCTGCTGCTCAAAGACGCCTGCTGAAGAGCGCCAATATGCGGCGTAGAAAGCGGGGTTGACTTGGGCGTGACAGACTTGCTGTAGATGCCTGACTGTTGGAAGGTGGCCGGATTTGAATATGGTGGGTATATGTTCTGTCTCCTAAAGGATTCGTAGTGACCGCTGTGGTGACTACCCTTATGAGTGACCAAGCCCAAGAGCTTATACTTCCTCTGCTGCAGAATACCCCCCAGGGGTAGTCGTTCTGGAAACGAGACCTTAGCCGAGTTCTTCATCGATGCCTGGCTAGCATCGTAGATGGATCGCGACAGATGGATTGCGAGGATCTTAGGGAAGCTCGTTATCCGAGTATGCCTTGCTATTCTCCGCTTC